TGTGCTTTGTTAAAAATGTAAATGAGTGAATAAATGTTTGAGTGATGACGATGATGATGACAATGATGATAATGTTGATGATGATAACGATGATGATAATGGTATTTCCTGATGAGAAGCAATGGAAAGCTATCAGTCATCAATTTCATTAATAAAAAAAAAAAAAACGAGTCAGATGGACAATTTAACATAATGAATGTTCCCAAATAGGAACAAAAATTATTGAAGTGATCCTTCCTGTCACAAAATGATATGACATTTCATTGGCATTGTTCATATGTAAGCGATGAAATGAAATGTATACAGTATGACAATATTAGTTCATTTCTTTTAATGCATTTTGGAAATTTTGAAATATTTCAATAGCATTGACGAATAAAAGTATAAGTTAATTTTTGATCACTTTAATTAATTAATCATAAATCTTTTCCTATTACTGCTATTATTACTATAATAAATGCAATCTTTATAATTTGAAGAATATGAAAAATGTGCAAATATTTCAAGTTAGTGAAAAAAAAATTAAATTAACTTTTTTCTTTCTTTTTTAAAATATTCATTAGCATAATGGGAGAGGAAAAGAAGGAGAAACAGAGGTAGAGAGAGAGGGAGAGAGGGAAGAAGGAGAAAAGAGAGTTATTCAATTTTTTCTAAAAATTAAACATGAATTTTGAAGAAATAAATATTAGCAAATGAATGAAAAAATTGATATATTTTAAAGTAAATGTATCATTTTTTTTTTCTTCTCTCTCTCTCTCTTTATATAGCTATTTGTATCATAGCATTACTTTTGTAGCATCAAAATTGAATAGCTTTAGGTCAAAGGTCAAGGAGGTTCAGTAATAGTTCAGAGGAGAGTAAAACCATTTATTCATGCGTTTAAAGGTATTTTTGTTTTTGTGAATGATCGTAAAAATCTATAGGAATCAAACAAGAAAGATATGCAATAACAATAGGCTCTTCGCGATCATAAGCCCCGAGATGTAATGAGAGGATGACTAATGTGAATGACATATCAAGGATGATGATGATCATGAAGGAGGAAAATGAAAAAGGATTGTCAAAGGATGAGTACTTTATAGCCTGCCTATTGATTCATCCGGTTATTCTCAAATACATCAGATAAAGTCCTATTCATCATCCTGAATTCTATTTCGACCTCTATTTTCATTTCAGTTTCAGGCTTCATCATTATCATCATCATCAGCTGCTGTTGCTGCTCTCTTCGTCTTCTTCAATCATTCATCCTTCAAATCCATCACCGCATGCTACTTTTACCATCATATTACCGTATTACTGGGAATAGTTTTATTTCAGATATGCTAATGAATAATAGACAATAAATCTATTTGTATTATATTTTCAAAATATAAAATTTAAAATTATCAACATATTATAATTAAATAAAATTAAACAGTTTATTATATTTCTTAAGTTTGAAATGCAAAAATTATGATATTTGTAACGAGTATGATAATTTAAATTCATCCATTTAAAATGCTATAATTATACCAATTTCAATTTTATTAAAAGAAAACTTTGTTTTGATGAAATTTCAAATTATAAAAAATTTCATTTCTTAAAATCTGATATAAAGCTTTTTTTTTTCTTAAAGCATTTTTATGTGACAAATTCATAAAGTTACAATTTAGTCTTTTTCATTTTTGAAAATTAATATAGTATGAGAAAAGAAGAGAAAAATTGGAAAATGAGAGAGAGAAAGAAAAAACGAAAATTGTAAAATCTTATTCATTTTGTAGTTAAAAATTGTAAAAAAAAAATTAATAAAAATTAGTCAAATAAAATGGCTAATTTTTTTTGCATAACTTAAAAATTTGTAAATTTGAAAATTTGTAGAAATTTAATTTTAAAAAATTAAAATTTCACAATATAACACTTGCCAATTTTTTTCCTTTTTCTTTTAGCTTTTTCCAAGAGTAATATTCGAAAAGGTCAACATTTATAATGAATAAAGTTCGAAAGGTTATAGCTTGGAAAGGTCAACATTATTGTTATGAACAATTTGGTAATCCTATAATGATAACAATACATTTATCCATATCCTAAATCAAAAATAATGATTGATGAATATTATTGGAAAGAATGAAAGACTGTAAAAAAGGATGATGATGAAAAGGTTATATTTATTTGAATAACAATGCAAAATGCATATTATGCAAAATATTACAGCAAAACTTTTTTCATGGATCAAAAAAATTTCTTTTTTTTATGCATTTCAACAGGATGAATATATTTTATAAATTAATTATTCCAAATTTATTAATTAATAATGCCAATTAAGGTATTGCCTGCTAATTAACGTTCGTTGTACGAGGAAATTAAATGACTTTTTTAATTTGAATTTTCAAATATTACAAAATTCATTTTAATGCGATAATGTATTTGAAACTTAAAAAAATGAAAATAAATTGAAAAATTTTAGCATTTTATTTTTAAAATACATTTCATTTTTAATTTTTTATTTTTATTAAAAATTAACCAAAATATGCTTATAATAAATGATTTAATTATCAATCATCAGATGACAGTAATCTTTCCTTTCTTGTTTTTTTTTTTTTTTTGTATAATAAAAAATTATGAATGAACTAATTTGACTGAAATGATTTAAACAAAATAATCCATCCTAGGTTGACATGTTGACTAACTAGTTTTTCCTGTTTGTTAGAAAAATGATATATCATTATTGTATTTACCCCATGTTGGGATAAATTGACGATAAGAAATAAAATGCAACATTTTTAGATTTAGTAATTGTTAAAATTAGAAATGAATTGGAGTAAAATGATTGAATCAAATGTACCACCCGTTGCTTTTTATTTGACAAATATTGATGCGTAGGAACACG